GTAGCTGAATGGTAATGGCCTTGTGCAAGCACGTAAAGTACATGAACTCCATATTTCTTCACCTCGATATATTCTTCATAATTGAATGTGTTATGTTTGAAGTAGAATTTAAACCATGCTTTCTCATAATTATTGTCTTCCCTAACCATAACCTCATCATATAGAATCAATACATGATCACCTTTGCACTTTTGCTCTATCCATGGAATTTTATCTATGGTAATATTTAATATCATTTTTTTGTTAAATCAAAATATTCGAGTATTTTATCTATGTAATTTTATATTTCGGGTAATTTGGATGTTCATTGCAGCATTGTTACGGTGTTGCGGCGTAATTTTTGCCTATTGCAATGTTACGTAACGGTTTTAGACCGCAAAAGTTCTGATGCAGTTCCCTTATCTCGTTGCGCTAATATTACGTCGCGGTGACCTCCAAAACCGTTACGACGCGGACGTTACGTCGCGTTACGACCTCAATTTAGTACTATGGTCGTCAACGTACAATATTATTCTGGATTCTAATAAAATCTGCATCACCTCTTCCCAGATTTCTTAATCTTACCTTCAACGACAGAAATGGTGAATTTGAGCTTCTATCCTCTACTCTTCTTCTTCCTCCTCCTCCTATACTTCTTTATCTCATCTTTCTCGGCACCCATTGATTGGAGAAATATAGTGTCGTGTCTCAATCGTCATTATATCAACAACTACACCACTTCCTTCGACGTTCACAACCATGACTAGGATAATCTTCTCAGCTTTTCAATTCAAAACCTTCGGTTTTCCGACCCCATGATTTCGAAGCCAATGGCCATTATCTTACCGGAGAGTAAAGAGCAGCTTATCGGCAGTGTGTTGTGTTGTTCACAAGGGTCATGGGAGATTAGAGTGCGGTGTGGTGGCCTAGCTACGAGGGTACTTTGTGGGTCACTAGCGACGGAGCTCCATTCATTATTATAGACATGATGAACCTGAACCATGTTTCGGTGGATATGGCTACTGAGACGGCATGGGTGGAAGGCGGTGCGACACTAGGTGAGACATTCCATGCCATTGCCGAGTCTAGTGGCATTCATGGATTCTCGCCGGGATCTTGTCCGACAATCGGGGCTGGTGGTCATATCGCAGGTGGTGGCTTTGGGTTGTTATCAAGGAATTACGGGCTGGCAGCTAATAATACGATCGATGCTCTCCTGATCAACGCGAAAGGTGAATTATTAGACTGGAGAGCCATGAGAGAAGATGTGTTTTGGGAAATAAGATATGGCGGAGACGGTGTGTGGGGAGTCGTTTTTACATGGAAAATCCGATTGCTGAAAATGCTGTAGATCGTCACGAGCTTCGTCGTGTCGAGACCAGACACAAAGGCGCACGTAGCGGATTTAGTAAACAAGTGGCAATACGTTGCTCCGAACTTACAAGGCGACATATATTTATCATGCTTCGTCGGAGCCGATATGCCTGAGACTAAATCCACTGGCATATCAGCAACATTCAAAGGCTTCTTCCTAGGTCGAAAACAAGAAGTCATCTCCATCCTCCGAAGTGAATTCCCCGAATTAGGAATCACACAAAAAGATTGCAATGAAATAAGTTGGATCAAATCGGTCTTATTCTTCTCCGGACTACCTAACGGAGCCATGGTCTCGGACCTCAAACTAGGTATCTCCAAGACATGTATTACTTCAAGGCCAAATAGGACTACGTAAGGAATCTGATCTCCATCACCGGCATAAAAATTGCCCTCGACATTCTCGACAATGAATCGAAAGGGTACATCATCATGGACTCTTACGGTGCCATGATGAGCAACATAAGCAGCGACTCGATTGCTTTTCCGCATAGGTGAGGCAATTTGTATACGATCTGTCACGGCCGTCTTTCGATTGGGCCCGAAATTGGGCTTCGACTTGAAATAATGGGTTAGAGTCGCCACCAATCATTTTAAAAACATTTAGGTGGATCGGACACCATCTTACCTGATCTGCGTTTTACCAGAAATGTGTCGGGTTCGGGAGTCGATTACAGTCAATGAAGGATTAGCACCCTTGAATTGCCCTTTCGGTACCATTTAATTCGTCGGTTGTCTTAATTGCGAAAATTAAAATTTAAAACATTCGACTCAAATTACTTATTGTTGATGGGTTGAAAATATTACTGAAAAAAGTAAAAAATATGTTAGATGGTAGAATAAAAGAAATATCGAATGAAAATTAATTAAATAAAAAGAATAAATAAATAAATAAATCAAAGAAGAAGAAAAAAAGTATATTAAAAATGTTATATATAAAAATTGTTAAAAGAAAAAAACGTAACAAAAAAAAGAAAATGTTAAGTTTCAAGAAAAAAATAAAATAAAAAAACACAAAAAAATAAAAAGAAAAGATATAATAAAATGTTAAAAGAGAAAAAATAATAAAAAAACAAAACAAAAATGAAACAAAAAGGTAAAGAAAAATAAAAATAAAAATAAAATAAAGGTTGGGGACTTAAAAAAGCAAAAACAGACATTTAAAGGATTAAACAACAAAACCAGACATTTAAAGAGCTAAAATTATAAAAAATAGAAATTTAAGTGACTAAAAAAGAAAAATCAGAAAGTTACTGGACCAAAATAAACATGCATAAAATAATATAACTAAATTAGAAGAAATAATATTCAGTGAGGACCGAACATGTAAATAAACCAAAATAAATAATTTTATATCAACACAATGGCTAAAATAAAATATAAGCAAAATAACAAGGATCTAATACGATAATAACCCATTTTATTTTAGAACTAAAATAAACAAATTACAACATAAAAGGACTTGGGATGCTATTTACCCCTAATGAGAAAATACGCAGAAGGCCCCTGGCGAAAACGACGTCGTTTGGGGCTAACTATATAAGCTCACGACGGTGAAGGCGGCTCACGGCGGTGCCGAAGGCCGAAGGAGAGGGTAAACCACTCCAAACGATTCCTCTCAGCATCCTCTACCAGAAAACCACCCTCAATAAGCCTGAAAACACCCAAAACCTACTAGATCTACAATATTTCCTTTCAAAATTTTAGGAAATCGGTGACCCCTCAGCTTCCCAGCGTTCCTCCGATCAAGGTAAGGGTTCTCTCCTTTCGGCTTTTTGTTGTTTTCCCTTTATTTTTCTTTGGTGTTTTCTGATTTTCATTCGAATCCCCCCTCACCCGAATCTCTCTATTTTCGTAAGATTTCCCCCGTCGTATTTCTTGTGTATTCGTGTCCTTTTTTCTGTGTAACCCTTGTACATGTATTTATAGTCCCAATATTGCTATTTTAGCTCGATTTTTGTCTCCTATTGGAAGTAAAATACATCGGTTTGTTGAGAGTTTTATGGGGGCTAACTTCTCATTGTTTTTGGTGAGGTCGGTGCCGAGAGAAACGTGGTTGGTTGATTACGTGAGGCACGAGGACTCCTCGAAGGGGGAAGATGCGGCGTTGATGAGAAAGAGAGGGTTAGGGTTTCGAAACCCTAACCAGTTCGAGTCGGGCTTCTTGGATCCCGGGTCGGTTCGGGTCGGGCTCCAGATTGAATCCGAGTCTGTAATGTAATCAGGTTATTGCTATATTTGGGGTTTTGAGTGTACTGCTAGGCCAACTGGGTGTATTTGCAATTGGGTTGTACCTAACAAACAAATGAAAAAATATTAGTTTAATAAAAAAAATAATAATAGTAATATAATAATATAATATACGTATTATGCAATGTATATAAAATAATAAAAATAATGTATAAGGTCGGACGAAAATGAGTGTCTACACGATCCAATACCTCGTCGAGTGGCACCATGAAGATAAAAACAGAAGCAATGAATATATAGAATGGATACGAGGATTTCTTGATGCAAGGTCGGACCACGTTTCATGTGGTTCGAGGGCTGCTTATATGAATTACATTGACTTGGACCTTGGTGTGATGGAATTGATAGACACTAATGTATCATCGGTAGATGCAGTCGAAATTGCTCGAGTTTGGAATGAAAAATATTTTTTGAATAATTACGATAGATTGGTGAAAGCTAAGACATCGATCAATCCGAATAACATTTTCAAACACCAACAGGGGATTCCTCCGACCACCGCCATGATCGGTTACAAGGCACATAGCTTCTAATCATGGTAAAAACTGGAATTGAATTATTGATTTCTGAAAGGTTGGAGTGTACTTTTATCATTGGCTGAATTACAATGTACAATTTTTTGAAAGGATTAAAGAGAAATTATACTATTAGAGAGTGTGATTCGAATTCCATCTGATCCGGTTTAAAAGAATTATCATCCTGCAAGTCTAATGAAGAATTAAAATATATGTAAAATTAGAATTTGTGATGGAAATAAAAAATATATATTTATATTAAAATCATAATTTTTAAAAATCACAAAATTATAAATTGTGTTTTAAAATTTATGATTAAAATATGTTTTCAATTCAAGTACTTCAATTAACTAAAATTAAATTATTTATTTTTTCCAGTTTCAAAATCATAGCTTAATCGTTGGCGCTAATAGTTTCGAATTTTCACATCACGTATATACGTATATCAGCTACTTAAAGAAAGGATTGAAAATGTCGAGATTCGAATCTCAAATTTATTGAATGCTATCTCCTAAAAGATACGGCTTAAACCGACTACTCAAAGTCGTGAATCCGCGAGTCCGGTTGTACTATATGATCATGCTTATAACCATCATTAGAACACCAAAAATGGTAGCAAAAAAAAACCCCAGCAAGACAACATTGTCAAAACAAAGGGATGAAATAAGGTTAAAAGTTCTCAAGGTTTCTGAATCCGAAACATGGTGACGACATCTTTGAGCAAAGATAAAAGAAAAACAAGACAAAATGGTTGCGTCCGGAAAGATGGAAAGAAAGAAACCGATGAAAGTTTTTACCATCCCTTCGTCACAACAGAGTTGCGATCGGGAAGTCACCCAATTCCATCCATATGTCTTAAATGGCTAGGTCGATTGCTTAACCCGATGTTGGTCGGGTAATCGTGACCTCACTGGTGTTTTTGAAGAACTTACCCTGAATGTTAAGAACGAAACATAATTAAACTTAATCGATGGTGAATTTGACAAGCATAGAATTTAGAACGAAAACTCGAGAGCACACCTGATCGGCTGAGTTCCTAGCACCAATCCACTACAACTCAATGCAACAATGGCACTTTCCGCCTGTCCAAAAACAGGAGTTCAGTCAAGGCACAAAGCCAATTTAATTCATCGATTTTATGTGCATGCAAAAACAAATCCGGATGATGACTGATTTAATGTAAAAGTGTATGAAGTAACATGTCGCAGTGGAAAAAAAAGCCGTAGTGTCGGTAAAGAACTCTTGAGATAAACAAACAGTCAGTCTGATCATGCAACCTGATCTTGTAGGATTCCATAAATGACATAGTAGTATAAAAATGAAAAGAAAGTTAAGGTTAGAAGCTTCTCCAGCATTTAGCTGATCTGTGAAAAATCGAAGAGGTTTAAGAATCACATAACTTTATCGAGTGTCTTGCAGTCACATACGTTAAAAGTTGGGCAGAGACTAGACAAGGAAAGCTAAATTACAAAGAATATGACCTCGTTTTAAACCATTTGTCGTAATGGCTGCAAGCTCGCTTACATGTAAATCAGGCCGGCTTTCACAATAATCTCACACAAAACACTAAAATCGAGCCACTTGATTTTAGTCAAGCATATCACCTTACTTAAAGCGTCTAGATTTGCAGTAATAGTTTGCAAAGCGACATGGATGACATATTACAAATAAATATATATATCTACACTAATTAGAACCAGTGGCGGAAACATAGTTTTACATTTTGAACCGAACATTTTCAACATCAATCCAGGAAACACGAACTTACCATGGCAAATTCAACAAAAGAAATACGAGTTGAATGCACATTGTCCCATAAAATCCTCAAGCGAGTGATCTGAACAAAATGAAGAGAAACAACAAGAGCTCTTCGTAACACGACAAAATGGCATGAGAAAAATGAAGCCTTATGCAAAACCAAAACAACTGAGAGCCAGAAAGTTATTCATCCATACCCTAGGGAGAAATGTAGGGTTCACAGGCAGGATGGCAATTTTTGATGACAAGACCTTAACTGGATAAAACCCAAGCATCGTACCATCAAGGCTCAGAGCAGCTCTCGCACCTTCTGTTAAAAGGAAGTTCGTGAAGAATGTAACATGTTAATTAAATGTACAAATCAATGAAAGAAAAGTTTTAAGTTCATTCCTTATCAGCTGCTTACTTTCATGCACAGAGGAGAAAAGATAAGACTCGTAGCAAGAGAATTGGGGAAATCAGAGAAAGAGTTAGGGATTTGGAATTGGGAATGGGCTACACGTTCTATAGCCCATTAATGATAGGAAACAGCTTGCTTAGTTGTCCAGGTTGTTATACCCAGTACAACACATTGTAAACAAATAAGACCATGTACTAAGGAGATGATTTTTATGAAAGTATTGAATGAACGTTTCTTTTCTGAATTCTCTCTTCTTTTCTCTATTTTCCTTCAATAATTCTCTATTTCTCTTAAGATCATAACAAATTGGTATCCAAAGTCACAACTCCTGACAAAGCAATGGTTGCATCCTCTGTTTTTTTTTTTTTTTTTTTGCGATTCAACATCAGATTGAAGACTTATCAGAGCTAGTGAAGCAAGATCAGTACCTGGAGACAAGGATTGCAATGAATAAGGGTCGTTTGGAGCAGATTCTAAGGGACTTGACAAGAAGGACAGATGATCAGGAACCACTCGGAAACTGAACTAATTCATGGAGAGAGAAAAATGGGTCAGGTTTCACTTGGTGAGTCTAAACCCTTCTTCTTTACTCCTAAAAAAATATTATCAATGACAATAGAATAAACATATGATGTTTCACAAGTGTTTGATAAAATGTCAGCAATAGTAGAACATGTGGTATTCCTATCCATCACCGGTTCCATGAAGGTTGATTCACGGCTACAACAAAAACAAACCACGGAAGATGACAAGGCTATTATGAGAGCTGAGTTAAATTTTGAACAGGGACATCAACTTCAAAATCAAATGAAGATTCGAGAAGAATGGGGAAAGAGAACTACCATTTACTATGATACGGGGTGGAGGAGAAACCATCATCAATTGAGAAATGTACACCATGATCCAAGATCATTTGTACTTGAAATTGGGACTGAAGAGATGCCACCTTATGTTATAGCTAGTGCGAGTCAGCAATTTAAATATTTAGTGTCACAACTTCTGGATAAGCGTAGATTGAATCACGGTGGCATACATTATTTTGGCACTCCTCGGAGAGTAGTGATATCTTTTGAAAATCTCTTTCCTAAGCAAGTCGAGAATGAACTTGAGGTTCCGGAACCTCCGGTTTCAAAAGCCTTTGACCTACAGGGAAATCCTACAAAGGTTGCTGAAGGTTTTTTTCGCAGATATGTTGTTCCACTGGACTCTATGTTCAGAATGGTAGATGGTAAAACAGAGTATATTTATGCTTGTGTAAAAGAATTTTCCCGAATTGCTTTGGAGGTTTTATCTGACGAGTTACCTGGAATGCTTGCTAAAATATCTTTCCTGAAGTCCATGCGTTGGAACTCGCAGGTCTTTTTCAGCAGACATATTCGTTGGATCATGTCCCTCCAAGGAGATGCAGTGGTTCCATTTGCACTTGCTGGGATTTTGAGTGGAAACTTATCTTATGGTCTTTTTAATATTCCAAAAGTTGCTATTATAGTAGAAAGTGCGGAATCTTATCCTAGTATAATAAAGAGTGCTGGAATTGATATTGATATTAAGGATGGAAAGAAAACAATTTTGGAGCGCTCACATTTATTAACAAACAGTGTCAAAGGGAACATAGTTTTTCAAGAAAGCTTGTTCAACGAGGTTGTAAATCTTGTTGAAGCACTTATTCCAGTGCTTGGAAAGTTTAAAAAGCCTTTCTAGAGCTTCTGGGTGATCAATTAACTATGGTTATACAGAAACACCAAAAGTATTTTGCTATTACTGATGATAATAGAAAGTTGTTGCCCTATTTCATTGCAGTGGCAAATGGAGCAATCAATGAGATGGTGGTGATAAAAGGAAATGAAGTTGTTCTTAGAGCTTGATATGAAGATGCCAAAATTTTCTATGAGCTAGATACAAATAAAAAATTTAAGGATTTTTGTAGTCAACTGAAGGGGAATCTTTTCCATGAAAAGTTAGGAACAATGCTGGACAAGATGATGCGAGTTGAAAACATGGTTTGCAAACTAAGCGTGGAATTTGGAGTTGAAGAAGATATGCTTCTGATTGTTAAGGAGGTTGCATCTCTTGCCATGTCAGATTTTGCTACTGCTGTTGTCGTCGAATTTACTTTACTCTCTAGCATAATGGCCCGTCATTATGCATCTAGAGATGTCTATTCAGATCAGATTATCGAGGCCTTGTTAGAGATCACACTTCCTAGGTTTTCTGGAGATGTGCTTCCAAATGGTGATGTGAGAAGAGACTTGGATGATATTGGAGCAGCATGCATTGAAGTTCATGCTTTGAACAAGTTTCCTTATTCAAAGCTTGATTCAAGGTTTATTGGGATTAATCATGGTTTCAAGAAGCCAAGTGATTTAGCTTTAGAATTTGGGGTAGCAAATCAAACTGGTACCAAGTGGGTGCTTACACTGGCAAGGGCATTGCTCTAGAAAGGTGAGTTTTGTATGCAAATTTTTTTCACAGAGATTGAACAAAATGGGATGCACATCATTATAAGGAAGAAATTGTTTGATCTTTGGGGACAAGGATCATTTCAAGGGAAGGGGAATGTCATAACTATATGGGAAGTCAACAAAGAAAGCAGCAGGAATCGATTACTAAAACAACAACTTTTGAATCTGAAATTTTTTCAGAAGACTCAAGCAAGGTTGAAATTTTTTGCTAAAATTTAATTGACAGACAGAGGTATAAAAACAGAGGACAGAATTTACCTGAAGTTTTGGTCTTACCATCAAACCTCACTTGCTCTTCGAAAAGGATTAAGGCTGACAGCAATGGTCTATGGTACCTACATCGCTTTACATTGCATGGGGTTAGTAGCATATAACTTGTTATATGAGTCCTCGAAGGTGCAAACAGTGAATTATGATAGTTTGTTGAAAAAGGAATCTGGGGATCAACACATTACCTCATTGGATCCTTTCAAGTTTGGACATAAAGGACAATTGAAGGTCCAATCTGCTATGAAGTTTGACAAACATAGGGAGAAGAAGTACAATCAGCTGCAGTGGATGAACTTACGGTTGGAAAACGTCATTGGGGTAAACTATATTGTGCTTAAGGCACAATTATTAGGTTCGGAAAACAAATACTATACAACTAAAAACTATCAAACACTCATCAGTCAAAACCAGAAGAAAAAAATAGGAAAATGCAATTGAAAAATGTAAATGATGAGTGGGGAAAAAAAGAATACCCTTCTATTGGAGTAATTCTCACTCCCTTGCTTGTTAACAGGGACCTGATTAAAATCACCAGTTTTGGTAAGAAAATAATACATTTTTTAACTTTTTATTAGGCCAAACTTGTGCAAGATATATAATGTCGAATTGATGAAAATAATAAAACGCATTCATGTCATGCAATTGGATGTGGAGATCACTAAACCAATTGTACACATTTCTCAAGTCATATTATTTAATATGAGACAAATAGAGTATACAAGTTCTAGTTCAAAATTACCTAAATTCTAAAAATATAAACATAAAGATAATCACACTACTATAGACATAACGTCAAATTATTTTGACAAAATTAATTTTACATTTTAGATACAATTCCATCGGTTATCGGAAATATAATTTCTCTAAAAATTATTGATTTTTCAAATAACAACTTGACAAGTATAATATGATTTTCCTTCCTCTTTTTGTTCTTTTCTAATATATTCATTAATTAGTCATAAAAAATTTGTCATTTGACGTATCCTTTTGTATTCAAACATAAATCATTTAAATATTAAACTTAGATAAATCCATTCTAAAATTATTTAAATTTAAAATATCTTAATGATCTAAATCATTAAGTTATGATACATCAAAAGAAATGATCAAAATCCTTTTCAATATCAACTTTTTTTTATTTAGTTGGAAAATTTTCTGTCCAAAATTTGGTAATTTGTTGAATGTCATGTGATATCCAAGTGAATTTTTCAAAAATATATTTGCTGATTCTCAAGCAAAAATGATATTTGTTTTACATACCTAACTGTTGGAAAGTGTACCGATTTGCAATTGTCATCTTTTTGTTTAATGAGAAAAATATTTAAAATCATTTTAAAAACAATTATATATTTTACTACAATTCAGGCTCCATAAATGGTATTGTAAGAAAAGGCGTGATGTTGTTAAGTAAATTAACAAGCATTTTTTTTATTTGTTTCAAAGATTATTCAAACTTCTGATTCAAACTCTATTTCAAATTTTTTGCGAGGCCAAATTCCTTCCTCATTATGCAATTTGAGTTCCCTTATGGTTCTCTTTTTATCGAACAATAGTTTGGATGGAACAAATCCGGAATGCATTGGAAACTTGAGTTCTTCCCTTTCATACCTTGATCTACGGATGAATAATTTTCATGGTAAAATACCTGAAAATTTTGCTGAAGGTTGCAGTTTAATTTTTTTTTCTAATAAGCAACAACCAAGTCGAAGGGTCACTACCACGATCTTTGGGTAATTGTAAAGATTTGAAGCTTCTTGATGTTGGGAACAACTATTTAAATGACACTTTCCCAAATTAGTTAGGAAATTTGGATCAGTTACAAGTGCTTGACTTGAGATAGAACAGATTCTATGGTAAGGTGGATAGTGTTGAAAACATTTTGATCCTTCGATATAACAAATTAAGTATAAATGAATTTTAAGATTTTACAAATGATTTTCTAAGTATATTCGATTTAATTACTCGAATATCAAAATATTACTCCAAGTCTTTTAAAGATCAATTTCAATCCTTACTAAAGTGTAAAATTGAGTTTTAATCTTAAAAAAATTTTGAAACAATTTTCACAAAGTATTTCGAACAAAAAACGAGCCAAAAATCAATTTTTCAAAGTAGTGTACCGATGCACCATTTAATGCATCGATGCACCCTTTAATTAATTGAACTTCGAATGGCTTTTGTGTACCGATGCACATACCATGCATCGATGCACTCCATGTGTTATTGAAACATCGAATAATTTTAGTGTACCGATGCACAGACCATGCATCGATGCACTCTTGGCTCTTTTGAAACATCGAATGAAATTAATGTACCGATGCACTAAGTCTTATAACGGTCGAAATATTTGAATTTTACACATAGTGTACCGATGCACTATCCCTATGCATCGATGCACACGCTCCCAACTGTTTTATTTAATTGTTTTCACACAATAATGGCTCTATTGACTCCACCAATGATCCCCAATGTTTAGAAGTGATCCAAGGAGTATTTAAACAAGCTTAGGAGCCATTGATCAACAACAATTTAGAAGAGAAGCCAGAGAATCAAAGAGAAAGCATCAAATCTCAAGTTTGAGCATTTTCAAGCCTATTTCATTCAATATTCATTTTTAAGCCTATTTCATTCAATATTCATTTTTAAGCCTATTTCATTCAATATTCATTTTTGCTTTCAAGAACACTTATTGTGCTCAATTGTATTATTCTTGAGTGTTCTTTCTTTGTTCTATAATTGTGCAAACACTTTGCCTTGTGAGGTTTTTCTTGTAAGTTTGCAAATTTGTGTATTTCTCTTTTGGAGAGAGTGTTCTCAAGAATTTGGGGTATAATTCTTGAGGGATTTGTAAGGTTACTCTTTGTACTCAAAAGAAAGACAAATTAGTGAATTTGTGGAAAATCTTTAGTGTGGATAGCTAAGGTAGTGGACGTAGACTTTGGTTGAGAAAGTCGAACCACTCTAAATCGTTGTGCAAATATTTTCAATTTTCTGCAAAAGCTTCCACCAAAATTTTTATTGCCAATTCACCCCCTCTTGGCCGATTTCGTTGATCGATTAACTCAACAATTGGTATCAGAGCCTCACTCATTTGAAGGTTTAATCGCCTCTTGAGTCGATTCGGGAAGAGTTACATCGATATTCAAGTCATCAATGGCCGGTACTTCAAACTTCGACGTCGTTCTTGATTCAATGACCGTCAACAAGACTCCTTTCTTCAATAGATCTAATTATGTTTATTGGAAGAATATAATGATATACTTCATTCAAGCAAGTGACATGGGAGCATGGAATATCATAGAAGACGGATACATCAAACCTTCCACTCATCCAAGATTGTGGAGTGAATGAGAGACAAGAATGTTCCAGCTCAACTCCAAAGTTATCCATATTATATTTTGTGCTCTTGGATCAGATGAATACGGGAGAGTTTCATCTTTTACAACCACCAAGGAGATATGAGATAAACTACAAGTCACTCATGAAGGCACAGACGAGGTAAAAGAATCTAAAATTAGTTTCTTAACTCATAGCTATGAAAATTTCAGGATGAAACCGGATGAAGATATCAAAGCTGTGACGAATAGATTTTCAACGATTATCAATGGTCTCAAATCATATGGAGAGATCATTCCAAACAATAAGCTTGTAAGGAAGTTAGTTTACTCTCTTCCGAAAGCTTGGCAATCAAAGAAAACGATAATCATCGAGGCTAAAAACTTAAAGTCTTTAACTCTCGAAGAGTTAATTGGTTCACTCCTCACTCATGAAATGATGCTTCAAGATGAGGTAGACCTCGAGAAGATTGTTGAGACAAAGAAGGAGACAGAGAAGAAGAAGAACGTTGGAGTTGCTCTCAAATCTACAAGAGATGAGAGTGATTCGGATGAAGATGACGATGACGAGGAAATGGCATTATTTTTCAAACGGTTCAGAAAATTAATAAGGCCCAACCGAGGAAGAAAATTCAAAAATGAACCAAAGGAGAAGGACCCTATCATTTGCTATGAGTGCAAAAAGTCGGGACATGTCAAATATTATTGCCCACAATTAAAGAAAAAATGTCAATCTAATAAGAAGCACAAGGCTCATGTGGCTACATGGAGTAATGAAGAAGGTTCCAATGAAGAGGAACAAGAAGTGGCAAACTTGTGCTTGATGGTCATCAGGGAAAGCTCTAAGAAAAAGGAGCATTGCTACAAGGCACAGGAAACAAATTCAAACTCATGGTACCTTGATAGTGGATGCTCAAGATACATGATCGGAGACAAGAGCTGGTTCATAGAGCTTAACGACAAAAATGGAGGAGAGGTGCCTTTTGGTGATAATCCAAAAGGTCACATTGAAGGTATAGGTACTATAGGTAATACCTTTACCATACAAATTAAAAATGTTTTATATGTGAATGGCTTAAAGCATAATCTATTGAGTATTAGTCAATTATGCGATAAGGGATACAATGTCATGTTTGAAACTAATGGTTGTAAAGTCGTTGACATTATATCTAATCGCATTATGCTTGTTGGTCATAGAATAGGAAACATATACATGGTGCATTTAGACTCTATTAATTTATGCCTAGTTGCTAAGGATGAACATGATTGTTGGTTATAACATAGGAGACTAAGACATGCTAGCATGAGTGTTTTACAATGACTAATTCAAGGAGATTTAGTTAGAGGGTTGCCAAAACTAAAATTTGATAATGATAAAATATGTGATGCTTGTGATAAAGGAAAACAAAAGCGAGTTCCTTTTAAATCTATTAATGACGTATCCACCAGTAGAGTATTACAATTGATCCATATAGATCTTTTTGGGCCAACTAGAACTAATAGCTTGGGTGGAAAACAATATGCATTTGTCTTGGTAGATGACTATTCTAGATATACTTGGGTTCTATTCTTAAGTACTAAATATGAATCATTAGATCATTTCATCACATTTTCAAAAGTAATCTAAAACGAAAAAGGTTACTCCATCATTAGTGTTAGGAGTGATCATGGAACTGAATTTGAAAATCTTGGATTTACTAAGTTTTGTAATTCTAATGGCATTAGCCATAATGTTTCAGCACCTAGAACCCCTCAACAAAATGGATTTGTTGAGAGAAAAAATCGAACTTTAGAAGAAATGGCTAGAACCATGCTTTGTGAAAATAATTTGCCAAAATATTTTTGGACGGAAGCCACAAATACCGCTTGTTATGTTGTAAGTCGAGTAATGATTAGGTCAATTTTAAAGAAAACTCCATATGAAATTTTCAAAAATAAAAAGCCTAACATTAGTTATTTTCATCCTTTTGGATGTAAATGTTTTGTTTTAAACAACGGTAAAGAAAACCTTGGCAAATTTGATGCTAAAAGTGATGAACGAATGTTTCTAGGTTATTCCTTAAATTCTAAAGCTTATCGGGTATTTAATAAAAGAACTTTAGTGGTAGAAGAGTCTATACATGTTGTTTTCGATGATAATCCCATTCCGAGGAAGGATTCTTGTGTTGATGATGACGTAGGTATTATAAAAGTAAATGACGTTAGACATGACATTGGAGAACCATCATCAAAGAAAGAAACGAAAGATGAGGAAACTCACGACCCTCTCGAGAATCCAAACATTGAAGAAAGGGAAGTCTCTTATCCAAGAGAGTACAACTATGTCAAGGATGGTGAAATTATAGGTGATCCATCAAAGGGGTAACAACTCGATCTTCTCTTAGAAATATTTGTAATTATGTTGCATTAATTTCATGCATAGAGCCTAAGAACATTAAAGAAGCATTAAATGATTAACATTGGATTATGGCTATGCAAGAATAATTGAATCAATTCGAGAGAAGTAAAGTATGGACATTAGTTGAAAGGCCTAGTAATAAATCTATTGTAGGTACTAGATGGGTATTTAGGAATAAGCTTAATGAAAGTGGTAATATAGTGAGGAACAAGGCTAGACTTGTTGCTCAAGGCTATACTCAAGAAGAAGGCATAGACTATGATGAAACATACGCTCCCGTAGCAAGGATGGAAGCAATTCGAATGTTATTAGCATTTGCATGTTTCAATTAATTTAAATTATATCAAATGGATGTTAAAAGTGCATTTTTAAATGGTTTTATAAAAGAAGAAGTGTATGTGGAACAACCTCCTGGTTTTGAAGATTCAAAATTTCCAGATCATGTTTTTAAATTGACAAAAATGCTTTATGGTTTAAAACAAGCTCTTAGAGCTTGGTATGAAAGACTGTCAATTTTTTTTAATTGAAAAAGGTTTTTCAAAAGGGAAGGTTGACACTACATTGTTTTTAAAGCATAAAGGTAAAGATTTATTAGTAGTTCAAATTTATGTTGACGATATAATATTTGGCTCTACTAATGATGCTCTTTGCAAAGAATTTTCTAAGCTAATGCAGAGTGAATTCGAGATGAACATGATGGGGGAGCTCTCATTTTTCTTGGGACTCCAAATCAAGCAAAGAAAAGATGGCATCTTCATCAATCAAGCTAAGTACGTCAAGGATATGCTCAAGAAGTTTGGATTGGAAAATGGGAAACCTCATGCCACTCCAATGAGTTCTTCTACAAAGCTTGACAAAGATGAAGGAGGTAAATGTGTGGATGTTAAATTGTATAGGTCAGTGAATGGCTCTTTTCTTTATCTAATCGCAACTAGACCGGACATTATGTTTAGTGTTTGCTTATATGCTAGAGACTCCTAGTTTAGGACTTTGGTATCCTAGAGACTCTTTAGATACCTTAAGGACACACATTTACTAGCTGTTAAGAGAATCTTTAGATACCTTAAGGACACTCCTAGTTTAGGACTTTTGTATCCTAGAGACTCTAGTTTTAGCTTGCATGCCTTCTCTGATGCGGATTATGGAGGATGCAAAATAGATAGGAAAAAGCACCTCCGGTACTTGCCAATTCCTAGGAAATATGTTGATTTTGTGGTTTTCAAAGAAACAAAATTATGTTGCATTATTTACCACTGAAGCTGAATACATTTCAGCCGGTAGTTGTTGTGCACAAGTTTTATGGATGAAACAACAACTTTTTAATTATGGAATTGAAGTAGATACCATACCTATCAAGTGTGACAATACTAGTGCTATTTGTCTCACTAATAATCCCATCCAACACTCTAGAACTAAGCACATTGAAATTAGACATCATTTCAATAGAGACCATGTCACTAAAGAATATGTAGTTCTAGAATTTGTTGATACTTTGCACCAATTAGCGGATATTTTTACAAAACCTTTAGATAAAGAAAGATTTTGGACACTTAGGAGAGAATTAGGTTTAACTGACCTATCTTCACTTAGTGTTTAAAATAATTTTAGCATTTTTAAATAAAAGATGAAAAATGCTTATAAAAATAACACTTTTGATTGCATTCTTTGCTATTAGTTACGGGGAGTTTATGATTCTTAGTGAAAATTAATTAAATGTTCAAATAATGTTTAAGGATATATTTGATTGATTGAACATAGTTAATTTTCGATCTATGAGTTGCCAATACCACTAGAGCTAATTAATTTAGCATTTGAAGTGTTTAAAACGGATTTTTGACATTTTCGTACATTGTGCATCGATACACTAGACAGCGTACCGATGCATCCCTTGAGTGTGCATCGATACTTCATGTTGATGCACCGATGCATTCCTTGAATATGCATCGATGCACTCTACCGTGCATCGATACACCCGTCGGGTTTTGGGTATTAAATCCCTAAAATTCTTCATTCTCTCAAAACCTTTAAAAAACACTCTCTTATTGTCGTAAGCCTCTCTCAACCCTAAAATCTCCATTTTCTCAAAATCTTCGATTTAAAGTCGGAATCCAACTGTTCTTCAACTTCTAAACCTGTTGGAATCATCAAATTAGTGCAAAAATCATCACATTCTCACAAAATCCGAATTTCTCAAGGTATTTTTCTAAAAACCTTATTTTATTGATTTTTGAACTTAGGACTAGTTTTAATTAGTTCTAGGTTGAAGTAAGTATCGGGAATTGATTGTATAATGTTTAGAAACTAGATTTTACAACTAATTTCATCAAAAACAGACAATTTTCAAAAACAAGTTCGAAATAAAAAAATTATTATATTTCGGAAATTATTGTTTTCATTGATTTTTTTATTTAATTATGTTGTTTTCATGAAAACTATATGTATTATGCTTTTTCAAACATTATTTTCAAAATAGTTTTTCAAAAATTGCCCGTTAGGATTCGGTTTAGAGAACCTTGAATATTGCGGACTCATTTGAGTTTTGTGATTAATTGAAATTGCGTACATGTGTTTCATATTTGCAGGTTACCATATCTATTTCAATTTCTTGAACCATGTCCAATCCTAAATGCCCTAGGTCGTCATTGAGTCTTTCGAGTCAAAACCGACCTCCCATTCCTCTTGCACCGCAAAATCCAAATCTCAATGCACCCGAATTAACCATTCTCAATTCTTGTTTTAACCAACCTGGTCGTCGTAGAGAAGAACTCTATCATAGATACATTGATTCTTTCCAATCATACAAAATCCGGGAAGAACGTATTCCATCTATTCAAGCTATGGTCGATATGAACTTCTGATATCTTCCTATCCTTTGTTCTTGGAAGTTTGATAAACTGTGTCAAATTCAACCCATCGTTTATCACCAATTAGTTTGTATTTTCTACTCAAATGCGGTCTGTGTCCAAAATGATCGTCAAACCGCAACCATAGGAATTCGATCCTATCTTTTAGGTAAATTCATTTTTATTGACTCAGACACAATCGCTAATGCTTTTAGTTTAGATAACGAGGGTCTTGATAATAAGAAAGAGATGGTGGGTACACCCTATTAGTCTAAGGATAGTGTAAGTACCTTAAGAACTCACCATGAGCGATTTCTTCATTTGATGATCTCTTGGTGGTTTAGACCATCCGGAGGTAGGTACTCCTCATTTCGGGTCTTAGATTTATGGTGGATACATTGTATCCAACATAACCGGAAAATAAATTTACCCCAAATCATCTTCGGTGAACTAGTAGATACCGTAAACGTCGTTCCATCCAAAAATATCAAAACTTTAGTTTACGGTTGTCTCCTTAGTAACCTGTTTATCAAACTCGGGATAGAGGTTTCGCTTGATATTCCCATCCCTCTCCATAACCAAATTAATCTCACATCTTTAAAGAAATCGGGATGGACCGAGAAAAATAGTCAATGGGTTCGATCCGTTGAGAAAACATCAGGAGCTAGCTCTTCACGAGCTCCACCTCCATCGGCACCAGCTGCGGACGATGATCCAGAACTTCAACAGCTTATGCAAGATATTGTCGATGTCATACGCGACAATGAGTCGGCGCAGCAAGGAGAACAAGCTCAGTAAGAGGATCAAATGCCTCCCTACTTTCGATCATTTTTGGAGTCATTTGATCTAAGGTTTGCATCCATTGATTCCCATCTTACTGCTATGGGGGCTCAACAATTGGAATTTCAACGAGAGATGCGTGAACGTTTAGATGCGCTCACACTCGAGATGTGAGCACATTATCCTCCTCCTCCCGATCCACCTTTGGATGATTAGGCCTTACCTTGCTTTGTTCTCTTGGATTTAGAACTTATTGTCTTAACATTTTGAATGTTTTTGGATTGATATGCTTGGATGATTATGGATTATTATTTTGGATGTGGATGTTTTGGATATTTGAAATTACATGCTTATATATATATATTTGGTTTGGTTTGAATTTTCATTTTGAGCTTAATGTTTATTAGTTTTGCATCATTTACATAATATTAGAATATGACCAATTACCATTACACATTTGTTTATGAATATTGATTTATGAAACTAATGGCTAGCCTTTCTCTTTCTTGTGATCTTAGCATCTTAAGCTTTAAATTTCTAAATCAATTGGCTAAAGTATTAAAAAAAACCTTGTTTACAAATGTTTTAGAGTCTTTTTGATTTAACAAAAATGGGGAGAATATAGTAAGGGGAGTAATTTACAAAATTGTTTTTCAAATGAAAATCTTAAAATTACTAAAATGTTTTGTTATATCAAAAAGGGGGAGATTGTTGAAAACATTTTGATGTTTCGATATAACAAATTAAGTATAAATGAATTTTAAGATTTTACAAATGACTTTCTAAGTATATTCGATTTAATTACTCGAATATCAAAATATTACCCCAAGTCTTTCAAAGATCAATTTCAATCCTTACTAAAGTGTAAAATTGAGTTTTAATCTTAAAATATTTTTGAAACAATTTTCACAAAGTATTTCGAACCAAAAACGAGCCAAAAATCAATTTTTCAAAGTAGTGTTCTGATGCACCATTTAATGCATCGATGCACCCTTTAATTAATTGAACTTCGAATGGCTTTTGTGTACCGATGCACATACCATGCATCGATGCACTCCATGTGTTATTGAAACATCGAATGATTTTAGTGTACCGATGCACAGACCATGCATCGATGCACTCCTGGCTCTTTTGAAACATCGAATGAAATTAGTGTACCGATGCAACACTAGTGTACCGATGCACTAAATCTTATAACGGTCGAAATATTTGAATTTTACACATAGTGTACCGATGCACTATCCCTATGCATCGATGCACACACGCTCCCAACTGTTTTATTTAATTGTTTTCACACAATAATGGCTCTATTGACTCCACCAATGATCCCCAACGTTTAGAAGTGATCCAAGGAGTATTTAAACAAGCTTAGGAGCCATTGATCAACAACAATTTAGAAGAGAAGCCAGAGAATCAAAGAGAAAGCATCAAATCTCAAGTTTGAGCATTTTCAAGCCTATTTCATTCAATATTCATTTTTAAGCCTATTTCATTCAATATTCATTTTTGCTTTCAAGAACACTTATTGTGCTCAATTGTATTATTCTTGAGTGTTCTTTCTTTGTTCTAGAATTGTGCAAACACTTTGCCTTGTGAGGTTTTTCTTGTAAGTTTGCAAATTTGTGTATTTCTCTTTTGGAGAGAGTGTTCTCAAGAATTTGGGGTATAATTCTTGAGGGATTTGTAAGGTTACTCTTTGTACTCAAAAGAAAGACAAATTAGTGAATTTGTGGAAAATCCTTAGTGTGGATAGCTAAGGTAGTGGACGTAGACTTTGGTTGAGAAAGTCAAACCACTCTAAATCGCTGTGCAAATATTTTCAATTTTCTGTAAAAGCTTCCACCAAAATTTTTATTGTCAATTCACCCCTCTTGGCCGATTCCGTTGATCGATTAACTCAACAGATAGCTCTAATGTTGCCTTCACTCGTTTGCATGTCATTGATCTGTCTCGTAATAACTTCAGTGGCTACCTACCTGTAATTTTTTAAAAAAATTTGCATGCCATTAGAGAATGGAATGGAAAGAAAGTTAAACTAGAGTACATGGAAGATGTAATAGCTGGTGGACCAGTATATAATGTTCCAGGTTTGTCTTTTACAACAAAAGGGTTGGAAACAGAGTTTGAGAAACTATTAACCATATGGACAGCTATTGACTTCTCCGGCAACCAATTCTCAGGAGAAATTCCTAAAACAATTGGAGAGCTTCATTCACTAATTGTCCTAAATCTCTCTAATAATTGTTTAACAGGTCATATCCTATCATCATTAGGTGATTTCTCAGAACTTGAATCATTAGATCTCTCATCAAACAAGCTTCATGGAAGAATTCCAATAGAGTTTACAAATCTTGGATTCCTAGAGATGTTAAACCTTTCTCATAAAAATCTAGAAGGACCCATTCCTAAGGACAAACAATTGGATACTTTCAGTAATGATTCCTGCATATGAAACTTGGGTTTATGTAGATTGTCATTATCAAAAAGTTGTGATAATGATGAGGGAACTCCAGCCAAATTTGATAGAGATGATGATGATGGATTGAATTGGAAATTTTCTATATAGGGTATGGATGTGGGTTGGTGTTGGGATTGAGCATGGGATACATTGTATTCACAACTAGAAAACCATGGTGGTTCATTAAGATCTACGTGAGAGTTCAACAGAGATTTGTAAAAAAGGTAAAAAAGAGAACTCTTTGACGGATTTTTGTTGCAGACCGAGCAGTGGAGATAGCAGAAAATTTCATTCCATGATGGTAGGCAGGCCCTTTTCTATAGTTGTTTCATATGTAGTTTGTCTTCAATAATTTCTAAATAATTAACCCCAAAACTACAAGTATGGTTTCATGTATTGACCCTCTTCTGTTGTCTCTTTTCTACTTCTATTGCATTTTGGAATTTCTTTTATATTGTACTTGAATGAATCCCTGCATTTTGTGGAGTTTTAAGAAATTTTAGATTAAATTGTTTTTGTTTATTTTTAATTTGTGATGATAGTAAGAGAATATAATTATATTTTATTAATTATAATTTTATAATAATTATTTATAATCTAACTTGAATTTTAAATTGATTCATTCATTAGTTAAAATATTGAAATAATTTTGTTATTATTAATGATTCATTTGATCTAAATACTCATTTTGACTCTATAGTAGAATTAAACTCTGACTGTAGATACAGAAAGCTCAACTCATTTCTCTATTTCTAAGCTATAATTTTTTATTAAATGAATTACATTTTAATATACATTGCTTAAACGATATCAAGACTTGAACTAACCCCTATTGGTTAATGTAATGGTTTTTTAATGGAAAATTTTCTATCTTTTGTTATTTATTATGAAATTATTAAATATTTATATTATCAATTTATTATTCTTAAATAATAATTTTAATTGAATAGCAAATTATGAGTAAATTGTTCACAGTGGAACTCAAACCAAGAGTCTCTTGCTCTGGAGGCAAGCGCCTTATCCATTAGGCCACGTAAACAATTTTATTTACGAATCAATAAATTATAAAATCATATAATCTTTTTAATTTAAGGGTAAAGTATATAAATAGTCCCCAAGCTTTTAGGCGCTTTCATTTTGATCACCTAACTTCTAAAACTTACAATATAATCACTGAACTTTTAGTTCATTTTCAATAAGGTCTCTGATGTTACTCGCTATTAGTTTTATCTAACGTGGCACATTAACTCTGTTAAACTCCATTCTTCTTCTTCTTCTTCTCAAATGAAACATATCTCTTGAAGCTCACAACCCAAAAAAAAACTAAAGGCTTTTTGAAATCATTTTGCTCTTCATCTCTATTCATGTTCTTCAACAACTACTGCTATAGTATATTATACTCTATACAACTTATCAATAAATAGTCACCTTACTAGAATGGATTCTTTGAGTATTTAATAGTCTCAGTTTCTTTCGGAATCGTGGTTGCATTAATTTGTGGCGGCGAAATGAATTCTCATGAGAAAAAAAACAATGAATGTGAAAAGGTAGAGCGGTGGCAATACCTGGGATAAGAGTAGAGAGTGGAGGTACTCTTACTGCACTCACAACTCGAGTTCTTACCAGTTAACTTCCCATTAACTTTTGTTATGAGACTTTATCATACATACCCACATAAAAGCTCTCGTTGGATTATAGGGTGATAAACATAAATGTGGAGGTTGAACCATGTTTTTCGTGGTTTGCAAAACTTCAAAAGCTGATATGGATGTCAAAGCTTTTAGAAAAAAATATTTCAAGAGCAGAAGAAGTTTTAAAAGGATGGCAATGGCTTTTCAAAGCATTGGATAAATAAAAGAAGAATATCGGGTGTCTTTTGTTTGTGTTTATAATCGTTTTTTATCTTAAAACCTAGAAGAAGAAGAAAGAAGACGAAAGAAGAAAGAAGAAGAAAGAAGAAAGAAGAAGAAAGAAGAAAGAAGAAAAAGACCGGGGTGGTTTAACGGAGTTAACATGCCACGTCAGATAAAACTAACGGGCGGGTAAAGTTAGGGACCTTACTGAAACCGAAATAAAAGTTCAGTAACTGTATTATAAGTTTTAAAAGTTGGGTGACCAAAATGTAAGTTCCCTAGAAGTTTGGGGACTATTTATATATTGTACCCTTAATTTAATTATAAAATATTTAATACTAATATAAAATTTTTATGTTTAAATAATTTAATTATCTATTGGACCGGTCCAATTTAAGCTTGAGTAGGAGAACTAAACAGTTTTCTAAACTACAGTCCAGTTTAATCATTTGACAATGAATACTCAAATACTATGTAATCACTGGTGCTCGAACATGCTCTAGAAATAACAATCATTCCTTTAACTGTTAAGGTAACTTAGTTTGTGCAAAATAAAAACCTAAATTTAATAAATAAAATAAAAAAATAAAAATCATTTTTAACTTTCACATCAACATTAAAATGTCACACCATCCAATTATTAATGAGTTAATATCTCAATGTTTAGTTAAAGCTGAAATCAAAATTTAATATTAGAATTGAAGTGTTTTAAAGTTCAATGATAAAATCAATATAAACATTAAAATTTAATAAAATTAGGATTGGCAGGGACGGTAGCCCCTTAAAAAAATAATTTTATATAATTGACATATTTTTATATTTGTTATTAATAATATATTTCTGCTCTTCTAAATTCTTTTAAAATTTATCCTAAAACATAAAATCATGACTTCGTCATTGATCATAATATAAAATACAAACGTAACATGAATATATGAATTTGTCTGGTCGGAACTCATTAACAAAACTCAAAATACAAAAGCAAAACTAGGACATTGAGTTAAACCATCCATGTTCAATTTATATTTAAAAGGCTAGATGGCTTACAATATGTCTATGCTAATTTCATTTGAGGAATAAAGTAATGTAGATGTCTCGCAAGTTGAACTATAGTCATGGGATAGATCTGTGTTAGAACCATGAGATTGATCTGTTGGAACTTCAAAGGGAAGTTGAAAAGGTTGCGGCGGCATTCGGAGGAATTTGACATCGGTTTCCAACATCTCCAACACTTTGCTCATCGAAGGATGACCGTACTTTATTTGTACACACCAAGAAGCTATTATCACCATCTTCTTCACCATGATCTTTTCGTCATCCGTAACATCCCCCAAATCTACATCATCACTGTGATAATACCGATCATAAATCCACGATGGGAAGTATTTCTGACTTTCGTGCTCAACAGATGTATTCATGTTCTTCCTCCTTCCGATAATTTCCATTAACAACATTCCGAAACTATAAACATCGGCTTTATACGAGATGCCTCCGAGGTTTTTGTTGATCAGTTCAGGAGCAATGTATCCTATTGTACCTCGTGCTACGGTTATAGATACAATACTATCATCCACCAAAAACAATTTAACAAGACCAAAATCTGCAAATTTTGATGTGAAGTTCTCGCCCAAAAGAATATTGTGTGGCTTGATATCGAAATGTAGAATCTGCATATCACATCCTCGATGCAAGTACTTGATCCCTCGAGCTATCCCGAGCGCAATATCAAAACTTCAAAAGTCGAGACGATAGGGTTTATAACGGTTTGACCCAAATGTTGCGAAGTCATCTTGATGTTTGCTTATCCGTGTTATTCTTTTGTCCGAATAGCCTTAGTGAGAAGTTTTTAACAACAGGTCCTTGGATCAATGAAATGCTGGTACAGGATCTATGAAGCCCTTGATGAGAAGACGGAAGAATGATACGAGATGCAAACCTCTGCCTCCTTCCAAGAGATTAAGGCTTGAGGCACAAAGAGTGCTTAAGGAAAGGGTTCAGGAGATTGCGGATAAGAAGGGCATCAAACTAAGGTTTTGTACCCTAAGAGAGTGTGAGAATCACATTCATGCACTCCATAGCCCTTGTGCCAATATTAGAATGGAAATCGGGTGGCCTCATGGAGTTCCGTTTGTTCATCCTCACGATCTACCTAATAAGGCAAAGATTGGTTTTCTCGAAGCGTATGAACCGGGTTGCACAGCAACTCATGATATGGAATTAAGCCTAACAGAACCCGGACAGGCCAGTCAACAGTCGGCAACTGTAACTGTACGCTCGTTTATGTTTCATTGCTCTTTCACAAGCATTCATCAAAGTGCAAATTAAGCCTAACACCATGAAAAGTTTGCTGCATTTATCCTGGTGTTTTTTTGGCCGCACTGATTAGTGTAAATTGATTTTGCATCGACATGATTGCATGCTTACAGCATAATGCTTTCGAGCATTGGATGTTCATTGACAATAATGTTGATCTCATATGAAGTAGTGGCATTATTCGGTGCTTTCATTCAGGGAATTTTCCTTTTCTTCACAATTCGTTTGTCCACTGATTCAATGTGTTGCAATCATAATTTGCCTCGACCTTTCTTTGAGATGAGATTTTCTTTAATGTCGTAACCGTACATGATGCCAAGATTATCAAACCAGCATAAGCTGTTTTGTCGAATCCCGCTTCCTTGGAAACTGAACTGGATTTCACCGTTGAAGTATGATTCAGAACACAAGTCACCATACATGTTTGTAAACGAATGAGTATGTTGTCTGTAAATGATTTTTTAGGAAAATTCACTCTGGTCTTTTAAGGTTATTTATTTATTTTTCTTTTCCACTCTTTCTTTTTATGTATAGTTTTCTCCATGGTTGGTGTTCATTCTGAGGAGAAATAGGATGGATCCTTTGATTTTGACGAATTGAATGAAATTTTCGGATTTATTAGTCGTTTACTCCGGGTTCGAGATTATGATCGGAAAAAATATCATTTCCTTCATCGTAAAATAAATCGATATATGAATGTTCGACTAATAATGAAAATTGGAACATCCTATAAAGATCATCCAGTTCATTGTAAAGAAAAAAAAAAGAACACACCTTCGAAGCAAACTATAAATGTTGCAGAAATCATAACTTCATTATTGTTCTCTAGCTTACGACTTGTCTTCATACTCGGAAAGCGGGGTCATTTGCTCCTCCAACCCCTTCCTGTTACAGATATCGGCAACATGGACGGCTGCCTCGGCGCCGGGTTCTAATGGATCTTATGACATCATATCCCGGTGATCGTAGATGCATTACGGGAAAGCTTATCCTCCGGTGATCGAAGGCGCACTGTGGGAGAGCTTGTCCTGATGTTGCAGTCCTTAGACTGCTAGAGAATCAGAATGATTTGATGAGCGGAAGATTAGTTTTTTGGCATAGTGTCAAAAAGAGCCCCAACGTTGATCAAAATGATCATTTTGGTCCCTTTTTTTTTTGCGAGCATTGGGACTCCCAACGTTTCACTTTGAGGCAAAAAGCTCCCTCCATAGATGAAAACTACTAGTTAACAAACTATTAATGCTCCAAAATAAGAATCTTTTTAAACTTAAAATGAAACGTTGAGGGCTAAAATGCCTAAGAAAAAAAAAGAATAAGAGATAAAGTGATTACTCTGTCAAATGTTGGGAGTCTTTTTGCCTTAAAATGAAACGTTGAGGGGCCAAAATACTCCAAAAAATAGAATAGAGAACAAAATGACCCTTTTCGTAAACGTTTATGCTTATAGCTTTTATTATGTAATTTTGTGTATAAGAAATGCTATAAAATTGCATGTCATAATTCAATGAATGTTATATCGAATTTTGTTGTGCTTTATTTTCGAAGTTTATTCCGTTTGTTTAATTATGTCTGGAGGAGTTTGAATGAGTTAGAGTATTTTATAATACATTTTAGGACTTGGGTATAAAAAGAAACAAGAAAGAAAGAAGATGAACGAATGTCATGTATCAATATTCAAGAAAGAAAGTACACTTCAAGTTACAAACATATCATTTAATTAAAATATTATTACAAATACATTACCACTCGTTAAATATTAGACGAGAGTAATGACGTGCCTTATATAATAATAGTTTTAGCCCTCAAAACTTATACAATCTATGAATTTGGTTTTAATTCGAAATAATTCAATAAATTTAATCTTTTATTTTTTTTATCATTTTAGTCTTTTTGTTTTTCTCCTAAATTTCTTGTTCTTCTAAAAATATTAAATTATTTTCTTGGTATAATAATAGTTTAACAGTAACTTGTACCTACTGCAGTTATCCAACTATTGTTTTGATCTGATGGGCTCGTTTGCTTTGACAGTATCACAAAAAATATTGTGGATAGAGTTTTTAAATATAAAGGTTTAAGTTTATTGAATTATTTCAAATTATAACATAATTCATAGAATGTATAAATTGTAGGGATTAAAAATGTTATTATACCAGGTCAAATTACACTTTTTTTTCAATTTTAGTGATAGAGTGACATGTTTGTAATAATTTTTTAATTGAGTGACTTGTTTATAACTTTTATAAGAAAATGACATATTTATTATCAAACTCATAATCAAGTGATATTGAAAGAAATTAACCCTTATTATTATTTGTTATTTATTGCTATTTCTTATATATCCAACTTGTTTTATTTATGATAAAATATCTCACAAATTATTAAACTATAATCAAATAATTATTTTTATATTCAAACTTTTAAAAATTTTAAAAAATATTATTAAATTTATTAAATTTTTTATAAAAGAATCATTGTGACATTATAATAAATATAAAATTTTAATAAATTTAATAAACATTTTATAAAATTTCAATAAAAATTTGATGATCACTTTTAACAGTTCAATAAAATCTAATAACCATTTTGTCACTATATGATAAATTATTGACAATTTTTTATAATTATTGAAAGTTCACTAACCTAAATGTTCATTTGAGTATAGTTCAATGACGACTAATGCATTTTATCATTTATTTATTAAAAATAAAATAGGGTAAATTATACTATGTACCATTGAACTTTTAATTTTATCAATTATAGCACCGAGCTTTAATTTTTTTTGCTTCAATTATGCCAATGAGCTGTTAAATTTTAACGATATAGTGGCGTGGACATATCTTTCTATCACTTTGATGACATGGACAAAATTATATAATTTTAACGACTACTACTGATGCCCAAAGTGATGTCGTTTTAGACATTAAATTTTAGGTGTGTATCGATTTTTTTAAACTTTAAAACAACTTACTTTTTGGTATTGTTCTTTCTGGCCGTTGTTGGTAACCAATCATTGTCTTTCGTTGGTCATCGTTTGAACAAGTTCGGTACAAAAAAATTCACATTTCACTCCCCTTTCTTTTCCTATGATTGATTTTCTACGAAATTCACTTAAAATCGACGAAAATTAATTTAAAAGTTCAACATATTAATAATTTGATATCTTTCAATGACGAAGCTAGTTTTGAGGTATGTTGTTAATCTTCTCGAAATAATACTTCTCATTGTTTGATTTTTTGAACAAATACCCCAAATCCCGTAAATCTAAGAAAACCTCCAAAATTTAAAAATCAACATTTTTTTGTTTAATTTCGTCAATTTTGAGTGAGTCTTATAAAAAAATAATCGTAAGAGAAGTAAGAGGAGAAGAAAGATGACTGATTATGATAAATGATTGGTTACTGACGGTCAAGAATGCATTGGGGGAGGGGCGACGAGTGTAATCGCCCTCTTCGAAAATTTAAAATTATCATATATTTTAGATTTTTTATATATTTTCTATTGAAAATATATTTTTATCTCTGAAATTTTATTAGTCTACCTTTTCTAAAATTTTAGAAGTTCGCGCATAACATAAAATTTTGAGTCTGTTCTTACTGATGGCAACTGAAAATATATAGGTTCGAAAATGGATATTTTTAAAATTTTAATTGCAAAATCGATATACTATAAAATTTAGTATCTAAAACGATATTGTTTGCCCAATGACATAGTTGAAGTGAAAATCAAAGTTAATATTATAATTAACAAAATTTAAAGTTCAATAATATAAATGATATAACGTCAAAAGTTCAAGGGTATATGGCGTTCTTTGCCCAATAAAATAAAATTTAAAAATACCCAAAAATAAAATAGAAGAAAATTAAAAGAAGCTGTTGTTCCTTCCTTCATCTTCGTCTCTGTTTTTCTTTTTCTTTGATCATCCATTTCAGACTTTCAGTTCCTCCAAAACCCTAATTCTTTTATTTCTTTTAGATATTTTATTTTCAAATAAAGAAACCAATCTGCATTCTCGCTTTATTTCCATTCTAGACAATTTTTTTTCTTTCCAAAAGCCTATCTATTATCAGGCATCCCATTTTTTTAAAGTTCTGAACTTTTTTGCTCCTTAGAAAGGAGAAACAAAAAGAGCATAAATTTGCAAAAACAAATTCCCATTTTCATTTGATCATTTGGGTTTTCTGTTTTTCTTTTACTCTTTGGGGTTTGAGGTTTTGATTCTATGGCTGCAATTGCTGATAAGCCAGGCGAGGCAGCAGTAGCTAATGGTAACAGCAATTCTGCATTTGGTAACTACTGTATATAAACTGGGCATTTGGTTCTTGAGTTTTGGATGATTCAATTCTGCATTTTATACTAGTTTTTGGTTGTTTCTCCTTTGGATTGATAAAATTGTTGTGTTTTGCTGGCATTTATGATTTTAAGGTTTTCAATTGGTCTAATGGTTGTTTAATTATTAAATTGATTGACTTGTTGGACTTTGATGTTATTGTAGTTAGCTTTGCTCGATCTACTTGTCGAATATGGGATAATGTTATGCTAAACATCGACATGTAACGATCTTGTATATCTTTGTTTTTCTTCTCCTTTGTTCAATTTGGTAAATGGTTGTTTTTGTTTCAGGGAAGAAACAACAACCAGGGAAAAAGGAAAAAGGAAGCTTAATGGTCAAGTTTTTCAAGCTCAAAGAGATGATAGCATTAGGCGAACTGTATATGTTTCTCATATTGAACAGAGTGCAAGTGTAAACAATGGCATCATTTTTTGATATTTTTTATTGTTTCATTATGATTTCGTGAAGTCACTTGTGGAAATAATTTCTTTGTTCTAGACCACTGAAGAACAACTTGCTGGCTTATTTAGTAATTGTGGACAAGTAAGTTAAAAATGCTGGCTTTAAAGCTTTTTTCGTAATTTCGTTCGTTTTTGGCTAACCCTGCATTTTGATGTGGAGTAATTGACAATAATGTTTGAGCTATATCATTTCTATCTTTAAAGCTTTGTGTGTGTGTGCATAATACATGCATAAGGACTCCAAGTTCACCTTTTTTATTTTCGTTCTTCATTTTGAGTGTTTAGAATCCCGTTTCTCCTTGATAAAAATACGGATTTTGGGGCTTTGGTTGATACTACTTGATAGGATTTATTTTTACTTGATAGCTTATGTGACAGATTACTGTATATATAATATTTCTGAAGCTCTTTGAGAATTACCATTGAAGGTTGTTGATTGCCGAGTTTGTGGTGATCCGCATTCAGTTCTTCGCTTTGCATTTGTGGAATTTGCAGATGAAGGTAAGCAGCTGATAAGGAATGAACTTAAAACTTTTCTTTCATTGATATTTACATTTAATTAACATGTTACATTCTTCATGAACTTCCTTTTAACAGAAGGTGCGAGAGCTGCTCTAGCCTTGATGGTACGATGCTCGGGTTTTATCCAGTTAAGGTCTTGCCATCAAAAACTGCCATCCTGCCTGTGAACCCTACATTTCTCCCTAGGGTATGGATGAATAACTTTCTGGCTCTCAGTTGTTTTGGTTTTGCATAAGGCTTCATTTTGCTCTATGCCATTTTGTCGTGTTACGAATAGCTCTTGTAGTTTCTCTTTATATTACTTTCGAGCCTCACTCTTGATAACCATATTCACTACAATTGTAGTCCGAAGATGAAAGGGAAATGTGTACCAGAACAGTTTATTGTACAAATATTGACAAGGAGGTAGCCCCTTAATTGCTAACATGAATATTCGAGTTCTTGTCTTTTATCCTAAGTTACTCAAACAACTCTTCGTTTTTATTGAGGCACACATGTCTGACTGATATCTGGACATGGGTATGGCTATATGACCCTCGAAGGTCCCTCAAATATATGGTAAAAGAACTTTGAAAATATGAACATACTTGTGTCTCAAAATCTCTCTTGTGTCCGAGTTTTTAGCTTTATCACTGCAGTAATTGATTCAACTTAGTTTATCTAATCCTCGCAAGGTTTTTCTCTTTGACGGAAGGTTCCTCAAGCTGATGTGAAGAATTTTTTGAGTCCGCGTGCGGTGAGGTTAGTACAATATCAATATCATGCATGCCTTTTTTGTAAATGGTTTGGTTAATGCGATTTTCTTTTAATTCTCAGGTCACTCGCTTGAGGATTTTAGGGGACAATGTGCATTCAACTCGTATCACTGCAAATCTAGACGCTTTAAGTTAGGTGATATGCTTGACTAAAATCAAGTGGCTCGATTTTAGCAAGTGTTTTGTGTGAGATTATTGTGAAAGCCGGCCTGATTTACATGTAAGCCAGCTTGCAGCCATTTCGACAAATGGTTTAAAAGGTCATATTCTTTGTAATTTAGCTTTCCATGTCTAGTCTCTGCCCAACTTTTGACGTATGTAACTGCAAGACACTTGGTAATTCGATTATGTGATTCTTAAACCTCTTCGATTTTTCACAGATCAGCTAAATGCTGGAGAAGCTTCTAACCTTAACTTTCTTTTCATTTTTATTCTACTATGTCATTTATGGAATCCTACCAGATCAGGTTTCATGATCAGACTGACTATTTGTTTATTCTTTTCCGACACTACGGCTTTTTCTCCCACTACGACATGTTGCTTCATATACTTTTACATTAAATCGGTCGTACATGCATGCTTGTGCACCAAATCAATCATCATCCGGAGTTCTTTTTGCATGCACATAAAATCGATGAATTAAATTGGCTTTGTGCTTTGACTGAACTCCTGTTTTTGGACAGGCGGAAAGTGCCATTGTTGCATTGAGTTGTAGTGGATTGGTGCTAGGAACTCAGCCGATCAGGTGTGTTCTCGATTTTTCGTTCTAAATTCTATGCTTGTCAAATTCGTCATCGATTAAGTTTAATTATGTTTCGTTCTTAGCATTCAGGGTAAGTCCTTCAAAAACACCAGTGAGGCCACGAGTTACCCGACCAACGTCGGGTTAACCAATCGACCTAGCCATTTAAAACATATGGATGGAATTGGGTGACTTCCCGATCGCAACTCTGTTGTGTCGAAAGGATGGTAAAAACTTTCATCGGTTTCTTTCTTTCCATCTTTCCGGACGCAACCATTTCGTTTTGTTTTTCTTTTATCTTTGCTCAAAGATGTCGTCACCATGTTTCGGATTCAGAAACCTCGAGAACTTTTAACCTTATTTCATCCCTTTGTTTTTTACAATGTTGTCTTGCTGGGTTTTTTTTTGCTACCATTTCGTGTTCTAATGATGGTTATAAGCATGATCATATAGTACGACCGAACTCGCGGATTCACGACTTAGAGTAGTCGGTTTAAGCCGTATCTTTTAAGAGATAGCATTTAATAAGTTTGAGATTCGAATCTCGACATTTGCAATCCTTTCTTTAAATTCGAAACTATTAGTGCCAACGATTAAGCTATGATTTTGAAACTGAAAAAAATAAATAATTTAATTTTAGTTAATTGAAGTACTTGAATTGAAAACATATTTTAATCATAAATTTTAAAACAATTTATAATTTTGTTATTTTTAAAAATTATGATTTTAATATAAATATATATTTTTATTTCCATCACAAATTCTAATTTTATATATATTTTAATTCTTCATTAGACTTGCAGGAAGATAACTGAATCAGAAACTGTAGAGTCTCTGTGGGATCGACCCTTACTTTTCACTTGCTATATTTTCTTTTATTTCTTTTGGGATTAAAAAATTATTTTGACGCGAAAACGACACATGTCAAATTTGCGCCGTTGTCGGGGACTAATGGGAAGTATTGATTTATTTTTCTTTGTTTTTGATTTATGACCAGAAGAAACCCGAGAGAATTAGTAGATCTTGACCTGGAGATCGAAGCACCAGCACGAAGAATCCACGCACAAACGCTTCAGGAAAAAAACAAAAAGACAAGAAGAACAAGAGCATAGTTCAAAAACGGAATTAAATCCGGAGACAGACTTTGAAGCAGACGCATATAACGAAGATTAAATCCTGATGCCAGAAGAAGAAGAAGAAAAACGATCCGAGAACTAGCCAAAACTCTTGTCACTCAGACGTCATTATGCATCACTTTTCTTAATGGCGGGACTCCATTTTACTCAAAGACAGGACTTATTCATCTTCTTCCCACTTTCCAGGGCCTTCCCAATGAAAATCTGCACAAACACTTATTGAAACTCCACTTTGCATTAGCATGAAACCACATGGAGTTACCGAAGATCAAATTAAATTGAGAGCTTTAAGAAAAGAAAAGAAAAATTACAAACTAAAACTTCATCAGTTAAGAACAAAACTGTATGTGGCTCCACAATGGCGTCAGGAAAGGAAGCTCAAACGACGGTGAAGGTTTCAGGAAAGGAAGGCGAGAATCAAACTTTGTTTGTTCAAAACATTCCTCCTAGATATCATTGGAGTGGATTGAGACAATTATTCGGTAGGCATGGAGACGTGGTTAGTTCTTACATTGCAAGGAAGAATGACAAAACGGGGAAGCGATTTAGATTTGTTAGATTCTCAAACAAAGAGGATACAGTTAGAGTAATGCAAAGACTAAATGGATTTTGGTTATTCGGATATCGACTATAAGTGAAGGAAGCACGATATAGAGCAAAGAATTTAAGTGGGGATCAGAATAGTCTTTCAACCTCTAATACAGCCGCAAGGATTCCTAAAGATAAAAGCATTGGTGAAGAAGGCTCTGAGGCACACGCAAGTAGGAGGAGCAGGACTATACAGGGGGTTATTGATGATGATGTCGTTCGAAAACTTCAGAAATGTATGGTAGATACTATGGCGACAGTCTGTTCTTCGACTCAGGTGGAAGAACGATTAAGTGCCGGAGGTTTGGTAGATGTCAAGACCAAGTTTCTGGGAGGGAGAGATTTCCTAATAGAAATTGTTGATGATGAGCTATATAGGATCATGAAGGGGAATAAATGGTCGTTCTTACTTGAAGTATTTTTGGAAGTTGATCCATGGACAGAATCTTACAGAGCGTTCGAAAGAGTAACCTGGATTAAATTAATCGGTGTGCCGTTACATTGCTGGAATCATAACACATTCAAAAGGATAGCTGAGCAATGGGGAGATGTTTCAGCGATGGGTGAAAATACTCTTCAGGAATTGGGATGTGAGGAGATGATGATCCTGATAGCAACAAGCAAAAAGGATTTGATAGATGAAGTGTTTGATTTGGAAGCAGGAAGGGATGTTTTTAAAATTAGAATTGTGGAACAATCCACTAATAGAAGCGAAACAAGAAGCCGTACGCAAGAAGTAGAAGTTAATTTAGCCACTATTGACTCGAGCTCGTCGGCAGGAAGGAGCACAAATTCATCGGAGGAGAAGAACTCGGAGAGGTGGCAAGAGGTAGATGATAATCATTTATGTTGCATGGGGAACATATCAAAAGATGGCTTATTGTCGGGGCTGGATGGGGAAGAGAGAAATATAGGGGAGGAAGCTATATTGGGTCAGAGGGTGAATGATGTTAGTTCTGGGAAATCACAAAAGCAATATGAGGTGGAGGTGGAACACGAGGGGAAGTGGCAGAAGATGACAATAGATTATTAATAAAGGCGGTGGATGATAATGAAGGAATAAGCGAAAATTTAAAGGACTTGTCTCTATGGGAAGGGTGTTTAGGGTCAAAGGCGGTTGAGGATACGGACTATATGGGCCTTACAAACATCTTACCTAAAGAAGGATCCAATGGAATAGAAGACCAATTGGATGTGATTTTGGTAGAACCGAAGGGAAGTAAGCCCAGTTTGGGGCGAGAGGAGGAAGCACAGGAGTAGGGGACGGGTATGATTACAAATTTGAGCGAGGATACTTTTATGCCCAAACCCAAGCAACAAGCTAGTCTAAAGGTAGGAAAAAAATAAGAAATACAAATCCCTTCAAAGAATACAAGAAAATTATGGTGATTCCCAGAGAAGAAATAGAAATTATCGTGTGAAGAAAATCCATAAGAAGGTGCAAAGAGAGGAAGAGTCCACTAAACTCGAAGGCAGGTCCCTTTCTGACTCGGATCTTCAAGAACGATGGCAGAGGTAAAAGTTGGAAGCGAAGAAAACTCTAAAGATCGACAGAGAGCTGGGTATACAGTTTAAAGGTTCAGAGGAGGCTTCAGTTGGAGAAATTTTAGCTGCAGATGATTTTGAAGGAGAGTCCCAATCCCAATCCATCGAATTCTAGCCGTTAAGCAGAGGGGGAGGAGTCCAGATGCGGTTTTTGTCTTGGAACACAAGAGGTATGGGCTCTAATGTGAAAATTTCAGAACTTAGGAGGGTTATTCGGATTCATAGAATTAAAATTGTGTTGTTACAAGAAACTAAGAATGAGAATTTTAAGGATACAGAAATAAGTAGCTTCTGGTGTGATGATGACTTTGAATTTAGATTTTTGAAAGCAATGGGTTAATCTGGGGGTATTTTGTCTGTGTGGGATAAGAGTAGATTACAGGTTCTTGATAGCTTAATTACAAACATATTTATTTTGATAGAAGGGAAGTACACTGCAGACGATTCGATATGTTATGTTATGAACGTTTATGCACCTTGTGAAGTTTATGAACAAGTTACATTATGGAATGCGATTGTGTAAGTCAGGAGGAAAAACAATAATAGATGGTTTATGGCTGGCGATTTTAATGCAATACGAAATCACAGTGAGAGAAGCGGGTGCTCCTACAGACAAACGGAGATTGCAGTGTTCAATACGTTCATAGAAGACTGTAATCTTTTTGACATGCCTTTATCTTGGAGAAAATTCACTTGGTTTATGGTCTAGGAAATATATTACGGTGAGTGATATGATTACTGCAGGTGATTGGCAAAGCCTAGATACAACAGCTCTGTTCGAGAGGCACTTGCTGGATAGGGAATTAATCACTGTACGAACTATTAAACGAGAAGCGGACAAAGTGAGTTTAAATTCGTCTGTGGTTGATCGGATTGTATGGGTGCATGAAACTGATGGATTGTTCAAGGTCAAAAAATTGACTGAATTATTGCTCAGTGATGGGAATTTCGAAGATGCAGTCTCGTTTAACTTCGACAAAATATGGAGTTTAAAAGTTCCCCCCAAGGTGAAATATTTACTTTGGATGCTTAAATTGAGCAGAGTGTCAACTAAGGCATTCCTTATAAAAGAGGGATTAAGCTGTCCGATGCTCAACACTTATGCCCTTGGTGTGGAGATGCTGAAGAGGATGCGAACCATTTGTTTGTGTCATGTATTTTTATGGTATGTTTTTGGAACGCTTTTAGCAGGTGGTGGCATATCCCAGGATTCAACATGCAGACAGTGGATGAAGTTTTTGAGTTTTGTTATCAGTTTAGATGGTCATGATCTATAGCCTTGGCTTGGTTTGTAAGCTTTGCTGTGGCGCTATGGAGCATATGGCTGGCTAGGAATGATTTTTGTTTTAGGAATAAAGGCATTAAACTTAAAGACCTGATTGTATATGTAAAGATGAGAGCCTATGCTTGGTGTAAGGCGTTGAAGGAATTCAGTGTTTTAGATGAGAAACGCTGGTGGGACTGGCCAGGGGAGTCAGCTGGTTCAAGCGCATATCAAAGTTTCAAGAACGTCTGGCAGCCGCCTGCATCGGGTCAGTTGAAGTTCAATGTGGATGGCTCAGCGTCGAACAAGACAACAAAGTTGTGGGGGAGTATTGAGGACAATAGACAGTCACATAGTAGTAATGTTCTTTGGGCCAGTAACAGAGGTAAATTCAGATTATGCGGAGCTCGTAGCAATCAAAATTGCATTATATGTGTTCACTGAATCCTGCTGGTGTGGTAAGGCTGTACTGATTGTAGAATCTGATTCTTAAGTAGTGAGGAATTGGGTTCAAAAATGCCTCTACTCGACCATGGAGGTGGGGAGCAACTTTTCAGGAAATGGATGCAAATGTACTGAAGTTAAGTGAAATTAAGTTTGTGTTCTCGCCTAGAACTACCAATAATATGGCAGATTATTTGGAAAAGATGGGATCGATTAGAAAAGTTATGTTTAAGACAAGCTGGTGATATGATAACAAAAGAATTTAATTATGCAGTGTTTATTGCATACCCAGATCGGATGTTTTTTTGTTTGGTATACTGGTTATCAGGGCGACTCTCTTTTAAGATGGTTCTGTGAAGATTTTAGTGTGGAGTTTTGCATTTTATTCTTGTTAGGGTGG